GTGAGATTGGGAGAGAATCCAAGTGCATTGCTTGAGTGATTGCATCTAGAGGCATTTGGCATTCGTGTTGCGCTGCGGATTTCGCTTGTTTCTCTTGGTGGTTGCCACCACCTAGACGGTTGGAGCAGCGGTGGAGGATTGGCACGAGTTGGTGATTGTTCGTGGCTATCTCCGGTGATTGTAAGGGGAGTTGTACCTTCCCCGGCGGAGTGTCAAAAGGTAACTCTAGTAAATTGCTCGTGTCATTGAGTTACCTCACTTGTGGGTCGGTTCTTACGGTGTCCTATCATGTGGACGAGGTTTGTGAAACACCTCTTAGCCACCGAACCACCAAGTGTTGGTTGACACAATGGGGACGTAGCGTGTTGGCAAGCACGTGAACCTTGGGAGAAAATCACTTGTCTCTTGTCTTTGGCATTCTCCCGGTGATTGGCTATATATTCATCTTGTGATTGGTTCATCCCCTACACAGCGGTATAATTACCCTACTCACTTATTTACATTCTTGCAAACTAATTGATACAAGCTCTTTAGTGTAATTAGAATTGAGAGCTTGCTTTATTATTTACATTCATCTAGTTGAGCTCTTTAGAGTAGCAAGATTGAGAGCTCTTAGTGAGTAGTTACATAGCAAGTTTGTGTGCTTGCAACGAGAATTGTTGGATAGGTGGCTTGCAACCCTTGTAGAGCTAGAGCAAGTTTGCATTACGCTATTTGTCATACTAATCAAATTGCTCTAGTTGATTTGTAGATTTTTAAATAGGCTATTCACTCCCCTCTAGCCATATTAGGACCTTTCAGTAGAATGGAGCTACGGAGAGTGAGAGCATGGATACCGGTGTTGACAGCAGCAGGGATGGGGAGGGGATCTACGGAAGCGCTCCAGTGTTGATCCCGTAGGGGCGGGCTCGACGTTGGCGGTCGCCGTGGCATTGGGGGCCAGCGTCATCACCAGCGGGGATGAGGCTATGGCAGAGCCTGGCCTCGGTGGTGGTGGTGGCATGGAGGGCCATGGAGGTGGAGCGCTGGGTCCTGTGGGGACGGCCACGAAGCTGCTGCTGCTGGCGGAGGCGTTCGCGTCGGTGGCGGCGCTGGAGCGCTAGATCTTGCGTATCTGATGTGGGCGGGCTCGATGCTGGTGATGGCCATGGTAGTGCTGGCCGGCGTCGTCGTCGGCGGGGACGAGGCGTGGAGGGCCATGGGTCCTAGACGCCAGGCGGCGGCATCGGAGAAACGACTGTGCATCCGATAGGCACGGAACTGCTGCATGAGGGAGTGGCGGAAGTGGGGCTAGAGGTGGTCGGGGAGGGAGCAGGGAGGTGGGGGGAGGGGGAGGGGGAGGGGCCATCGTCGCCGGGTTGGTGGCCGCTGGCGGCAGCGGTTGTGATGAGGAAGAGGCGCGTTGTGGGGTATCCTCGCATGGTGGCGTGGAGGTGGTCGCTTGGGGGGAGGAGGAGGGGAGGGCGGGCTAGGAGGGGTGGGCACCGGCGCCGAAGAGCCCGCTAGGGTTGGGGTCACGTCGGGTCCGTCCCTCTAGGGCATTACTAAGCCACTCAATGCATTTATTATTATTATTATTATCCTTGCCCTCTTTTTCTATCTGTTTCACCAAGGCACATCACCAACAGGTCTTGTTATTTGTGGATGGCTAATTGCTATGGTCTAGTGTTTTTCTTGGGATCAGAGGGGGATTCTTCTCCCTCCTTTGTACTTTCCTTCTTTTCTTCTCTCTTAATGAAATGATTCTCAAGTCTCTTACGTGTTTGAGAAAAAAGGCACACCACCACATAGCAGGCCTCCTTGCTGGATGTCAAGGTCTAAATTCTAATGTTTACCCTCTTCCCCATAATCCTGCTGCCCTCCCTCTCCTAGATAGCCCTTCAACATCATATTTCCTCCCCTCCTCCTCCGCCCTATGAGGAGAAGTTATTAGTGTTTTTGTCACTAGCAATAAGTATAGAGCGTTGTGTAGTAGATGAAACTAGATGTGAGTACATGGAATAGAGATTAGTAATATCCCATGTTCTGTGTTTGTTGTTGTATTGCTTGTGCTTGGTACACGAGATGTGTATTATCAGATCAGATACCGATCATGGGGCTCCCTACCCACCTTATATAGCCAGGGGTTAGGGTTACAAGAACAACGTCGCCCCTGATCGGTTTTACATATATGTTTCCTAGTCAGCTACAATATTGTCGGGACCCCTTCCGTCCAAGCCAATGATTAAACTAAGTTGTCTTTCAATGACAGACACCTAGCCTAAACCCCCAACCCGTATGGTCGTCCTAGTGTGCTACCCATATAACACACAGTTGTCTGACCTTTGCAAATATATAGATTACACCATATGATTCACATCAAATTCACATCACATTTAAAAGGAATATTTAGGTTTAGAACACATTGGTCATCACTTAGTCATAACACATCACATATCTCAGAGTCAGCGTGGAAATCTTAACATAACATAAAGTTTTGATACATGTCGTGGGTGTGCCACCGCAATGGACCTACGCTTCACAGGCGGGTGTCTACCACACTCCCAGTCCGCAGAGGACTCTGGCATGTAGAAAAACCATAAGCAGAGGCTATCTCACCCGCAAAACTCAAGAAGTAGTATGATGAGTAACAGAGATATGCAGCGAGAACAGTAGGCATAGAGCTTTTGGATATAGGAGGAAGACAACTTCAGTTCTGTTCGATCCCCCTCTGCTGCTGCTATTGCCTTGCTTATGTATGTGATACCGAAGCCCAGTGGAACCTTCGGCCCATGTTTTTGTCAGGACATGATGGTTACTGAAGATACTGAAGGAGAAATAGCATCTGGAGGAAGCCCAAGTGCTGTTGCCCCGTCCGGCATCACCCAAGAGACAGAGCACGCGTGAGCGTGAACGCCGTCCGAATGCAAGGTCACGTTGGGCTTGACCCGTAGGCTATAGAGGCAGCTGCGCTGCCTGGGCAAGCCGATCTCCAGCTATGCTGGTGTATAAGAGGGTACGGAGTAAGAGAGAATCCTGGAAGAGGGCAAGTAAGAATTGAATACCAAATACTCGAACTAATCCTTCATCCTATCTCACGCTACCTACTGTGCGTGTTCTTCTCTCTTCCTCTGCCTGTCTTCCCTTCCTCCCCAATTCCTATATGCTAACAGTTTTGTGGTGCAATCCATGCCCCCTATGTTGCTACTATTGCCTTGCTTTTATATGTGATACCGTACCTAAGCCCAATGCAACATTCGTCCCATGTTTTGTGGCCCATGAGAACGAGCTCCAGATGGAGCAGATCAATCGATGTAGGCTCGTGATCGGCATGGACTAGTTCCAGTCCATGGTGGCCTCGTGGTCTGGTTGATTTGGATAGTGGCATGTCAGGCTGGGATCTTGGCTTATGATCCATGGGTCAGTAGTGTGATTACGGAGGATAGATAGATATTCCATTTTACAATCAATGTCTCATTCAAAATTTAAACGAAGATGCCATAGTGCCGTAAATTAATATTACTTTTGTGCCTTGATGGGTGCCAAGCACACCTCAAGGTCATGGCGTTGCCATACTACAGCTGATGAGATAAGTGATAAAGCTACAGTACTCTCTCTTTTTGCGAAAAGGAAACTTATCAATTAAAACTCAAGTAATATCCTTACAAGAGAGTGAGGAAACCCACTCTAGAAACACAAGAAAAAAAAAGCACCGAGACTCCCTAGACGTAATGCTAAACTGCGCCAACTCATGAGCTAAATTATTCTGAACTCTGCTAATCTTCACCAACTCCAACCTCCTCAACTGACCTCCAACCTCCTGCGCCTCCTCGATGATTTGCCAAATGGAGGAGCGATCATGGACATTGGCAGAGATGAGCACACACCAGCAACTTAGAGGCGTCTCTATTTTTCTCTGCAGTGCAGTGCATTTTGTTAAAACTGTTCTAACAAACCTAAAAAAACAAATTTGGTGCGTGGAAAGATGCCTAGACGATTCATTCAAGTAGCTGCTTGTGTGTTATATTGTAAAGTGGCGTGCCCTTACCACTCTCCAAATTCTCTGAAGAATATAATATTCAGTGTTACTCACATTGTAGTTCTCCACACGTGGTGCAAAAATAACATGTGCCATAGATACACTTTTCATTCATTTCAGAAAAAATAGAAGAAGCCATTCTGCTAAATATTTTTCAAAAGCTTTAACTTAAAACAAAACCATTTCTCTTGAATAGAGCTGGAGCGTCGGTAAACAGACCCTAATCAAACAGTAATGTCCTATGGCAAAAACAAAAACAAAAACAAATAAAAAAAAACAGAAGAAGCCATTCTGCTAAATATTTTTCAAATGTTTTAACTCCAAAAAAAAGTCATTTCTCTTGAATATGAGTTGGAGCGCAATAAACATATCCTAATAAAACAGAAATGTCCTATGGCAAAAAAACAGGAAAAACCATTCGACTAAAATACTAAATATCAAAAGTTTTAACTTAAAAACAACTATTTCTCTCGAATAGAGATGGAGCACCGGTAAACAGACCCTAATAAAACAATAATGTCCCGTGGCCAAAAAAAACAAAAGAAGCCATTCTGCTAAATTTTTCAAAAGTTTTAACTCTAAAAAAGACCATTTCCCTTGAATAGAACTGGAACGCCAGGAAACAGACCCTAATAAAACAGTAATGTCCTCTAGCTAAAAAATATAGAAGAAGCCATTCTGCTAAATATTTTTCAAAAGTTTTAACTCTGAAAAAAAAGCCATTTTTCTTGAATAGAGCCTGAGCGCCAGTAAGCAGACCCTAATAAAACAGTAGTGTCCTGTGGCCAAAGAAAAAGCGGCAAAGCGCAACTACCGAAAGTCGCCGGTTGTTGTCAGCGTCCTGCTTCGTCAAAGTCTGAAATTAAGCTGGACACCACTCCCGCACCAAACCAAACTAATCACCTCTTCCCGCGACCTCCTCCTCCCCGGCGTATCTGTACCTCCGGAGATGCACCCCGACCCACCACCGCCTGCCTCGGCAATGGCCGCCGCGCCGCCGCCCACGGTAACCAAGTCCCCGCCGTCGCTGGTCCCGCCGGCGGGGCCCACCCCGGGCGGCTCCCTCCCGCTCTCCTCCATCGACAAGACCGCCGCCGTTCGCGTCTCCGTCGACTTCATCCAGGTCTTCCCCGCCCCTACGTCGGGGAATAAGGAGGACCGGAGCGCCTCCTCTGCGATCGCGGCCATGCGCGAGGGCTTCGCCAAGGCGCTCGTGCCGTACTACCCCGTCGCCGGCCGCATCGCCGAGCCAGTCCCGGGGGAGCCTGAGATCGAGTGCACGGGGGAAGGGGTGTGGTTCGTGGAGGCCGAGGCGAGCTGCTCCCTCGAGGAGGCGAGGAACCTCGAGCGCCCGCTGTGCATCCCCAAGGAGGAGCTGCTCCCGCGTCCGCCGGCCGGGGTGCGCGTGGAGGACACCCTGCTGCTCGCGCAGGTCAGTCCGATTCCCATTGCCTGCTGCTTTAGTCCCCTCACTTCTGATCATTTCGGCTAGTAAATTTGGGACGCAAGTTTTGGTCTGGATCTGAGGGGGTTTAGTGTTCGGTCTGTGGATCTGAGGCGGAAGCAGGGTGTTGACTAACGTTGACTAGTAAATCATGGCTTACAACAATACAACCGTAAATAAAAGGTGTGAAGCACAATGTGTCATCAACGTCTGCCTCAAAATAGATCGATGCAACTGCGAGTGACTGTATCATGGACAATTGGCCACAATTGTTTGAGCTGATCTAGTGATCTAAGCTAACAGCCATCGATAGCAACCATCTCAGAAAACATTAGCATGCTTCTGGTTGCGTTCACTTGAGCTAAAGTGGGTGTTGCTGCAGCCAGCAGCTGCTGTGGTTTCAGGGATGTGTTGAAGGGGTTGCAGCCGCAGCACCTCACTGGTAGCTGCTTATAATTAGTGGTAGCCTGGTAGGGAATGCTGCTGCAGTGCTAATGGTTTCATCAGAAGTAGGCAGGATGGAAGCCAAGTATTGATTGGTATTCTATATTTGCTGTTGCTGCCTACCTCGTTGACTAGCAGTGCATTCAGCCAAATTTTTAGCATTCACTACAGATTGTTGCCTTGTTGGTAGCAAACCATATAACAAAATCATGAAACAACTGTCGTTTTCTTTTGCATTAGAGCAAAACTGTATTCGAGCATCTAAAAGTTGAATGATGATCCCTGAATCTAGAATGTGGTTTGAATATTTATTTTACAGTTATGTAGCCCAAAGTTCATTTAGGCCCTGTTTGTTTTGCCCCAAAACCAAGGGGATTGTGAGGGATGGAGGAGGATTATATCCCCTACATGCTACAAGTCAAAATCCTCCTCAATCCTCTCCAATCTCCCCCAATCCCCATGGTTTAGGGATGAAACGAACAAGGCCTTAGATGGAAGCATACCCTGTTGGAGGGGAACTACCTGTTATTGTTGAAGCTTATATGCCTAAGAGATATAGGTTTTGGCATGTGTCCTATACTCAGACAGCAGAGTAGAATTTTGCTGGAAAAAAAAAACTCGACCCAGGAGAGAAACATCATGAAGGCATTGCACTTAAGGTCGGGAAAAGCCCCTGAAAGCTGGCTACTACACACATGTTTTCGCTTTAGAGACTGCCCCATGACCATGGGGAGCATACAGCAAGGGGGCTTTCATTGTGATAACCAGGGGTCTTACTAGCATGCTATGAGCATGTTCTCAAAATTTTCCCTATTGGAGGCCAGAAACGCACATCCTTAGTTTGAGGACTAGTTGCTGAATTTACATTTTATTTAGTTGATTAACCCGCTGCTATTTTCGCTATGTTCAGGTTACGAAGTTCACATGTAGTGGATTTGCTGTGGGCATTTGCTTCAGTCACTTGGTGTTTGATGGGCAGGGTGCTGCACAATTTCTGAAAGCAGTTGGTGAGATGGCTAGGGGCCTCCCTGAGCCATCGATCAAGCCAATCTGGGCTCGGGATGCCATCCCCAACCCACCTAAGCCACCCCTAGGCCCGCCACCGTCATTCACCGCATTCAACTTTGAGAAGTCAGTTGTTGAGATCTCTCTGGACAGCATCAAGCGTGTGAAGGACCAGGTTGCAAGTGAAACCAACCAGAAGTGCTCCACTTTTGACGTGGTCACTGCCATAATCTTCAAATGTCGCGCCTTGGCAGTCGACTTTGCACCTGATGCTGAGGTTCGCCTGGGCTTTGCAGCCAGCACTCGCCACCTGCTGAGCAATGTGCTGCCCTCGGTCGAAGGCTACTATGGGAACTGTGTGTACCCAGGTGGCCTCACCAAGACCAGCCAGGAGGTGAAGGAAGCTTCACTGGTGGAGATCGTGACCGCGATCAGGGAAGCCAAGGAAGCTCTGTCGTCGAGGTTCCTTGACTGGTTGAGCGGCGGCGCCAAGGAGAAGCACTACAACGTGTCACTGGACTATGGCACCCTCGTCGTGACTGACTGGAGCCATGTGGGTTTCAACGAGGTTGACTACGGGTTCGGCGAGCCAAGCTACGTGTTCACCCTGAACGACGACGTTAACATCGTTCCCTCCGTTGTGTACCTGAAGCCACCCAAGCCCAAGCAGGGCATCAGGCTGGTGCTGCAGTGCGTGGAAGGGCAGCACTCTGCCGTGTTCAGCGAGGAGTTGCAGAAGCATGCATAGAGTGAGTGTATTCCATTCCGCAGTGGGATTTGTTGTATTTTGTTGTGTCAAATTGCTGCTCCTGGAATTTGCTTGCAATAAGACAGGGTTGGTCATGTTTATACTGTGTACTATTATCAGCACGTTACATTATATACATGTATTGAGTATTGACAGTGATGAAAGAATAATAGTGTTGCATTTGAAACAAATTATTTCAGACTTATTGGCCTGCAGTAAGTTCATGATGTCCCGAGTTTTAATGTGTCTATATGCCATAAGAAACCAGGCACCAGATGAACATTGGTTGAACTGGCACTGCTTGATGATTGATCAGCAGCAGGAAGAAGCTTCTTGTGTGACCAATCTCTGAACTATAAAGAAGCAGGCGTGACCAAACAAGCATTTAGTGAAGAACAGTGTTTTTCTCTCACACCAAATCAGCCGACAGTAAATAATCCACGATACGATACGGCCTCTCGAACAGGCTGTTGAGCTGGAGTGTCACATTTGTGAGCTGCAAAGTTCAGAAATTATTTGGAAAACAAATGGTCATGTGAGCTCCACTACAACCGCAAAGGCAAAGTCACCAACCCCACTCGCCTTCAGGTCCACTTCCCTGCAGGTTTCGATCAGCCTCGCCTAACAGACAAGAAGAAAAGAACCCGACGACTTCCAAGGATTCAGATTGCAGCGTTGAGCTCGTGCCAAACGAGAAACGACTGTAGCGAGGCCGCAGCCGGCAACAACCTCCGCACCACTTACTGCTGGTGAGCACCGCAAGCACCAACTCCGCTTCTTGCTGCTACTCGTGCCCACCGCTCCGCTCCACCAGCGGACGCCGTCATGTCTGCCGCCGCCCCCACCGTCGTGAAATCGGCCCCGGAGCTCGTCGCGCCAGCGGGGCCAACCCCCGGCGGCACCCTCCCACTGTCCTCCATCGACAAGACCGCGGCGGTCCGCGTGTCGGTGGACTTCATCCAGGTTTTCCCCCCGGCTGCAGGAGCCGGCGGGGACCAAGACGCCGCCGTGGCCGCGATGCGCGACGGCTTCGCGAGGGCGCTGGTGCCGTACTACCCGGTGGCCGGCCGCATCGCGGACGCGAGCCCCGGGGAGCCCGTCGTGGACTGCACCGGGCAGGGCGTCTGGTTCGTGGAGGCCGCCGCGAGCTGCGCGCTCGCCGACGTGAACTACCTCGAGCGCCCCCTGCTCATCCCCAAAGAGGAGCTCCTCCCGCGCCCTCCCCCCCAGGAGAAGCTCGAGGACCTCGTCCTCATGGCACAGGTTCGATCGATCACCTCCAGATTCCCTTGTCTGATCCGAGTATCCGACAAGTAGTAGGAAGATTCATACGCACGATAGCCGGATCCAGGGAGAGATCGTCTTCAGGTGCTGAGAATTTGCGCTCTACAGGTGACCAAGTTCACCTGCGGCGGGTTCGCGGTCGGGATCTGCTTCAGCCACCTGGTGTTCGACGGGCAGGGCGCGGCGCAGTTCCTCAAGGCGGCTGGCGAGATGGCGCGGGGGCTGCCGGCGCCGTCGATCGCGCCGGTCTGGGACCGCGACGCGATCCCGGACCCGCCTAAGCTGCCGCGCGGCCCCCCGCCGTCGTTCACGGCGTTCAGCTTCGTGACCCAGGTGGTCGAGATCTCGCCGGAGAGCATCGCGCGCATCAAGGACGAGTTCAAGGACGCGACGGGGCAGACCTGCTCCACCTTCGACGCTGTCACGGCGGTGGTGTTCAAGTGCCGCGCGCTGGCGATGGCGCTCCCCGACGACGCCGAGGTCCGGCTCGGCTTCGCCGCCAGCACGCGGCACCTCCTCCACGGCGTGCTGCCGTCGGTGGACGGCTACTACGGCAACTGCGTGTACCCCGTGGGCATCACCCGGACCAGCAAGGCGATCCGTGAGGCGTCGCTCCCGGAGGTGGTCGGCGTGATGCGGGAGGCCAAGGAGGCGCTCACCACGCGCTTCACGGACTGGATGCGCGGCGGCGCCAAGGACGACCACTACAACGTGCCGCTGGACTACGGCACAGTGACGGTGTCGGACTGGAGCCGCGTCGGGTTCAACGAGGTGGACTACGGCTTCGGCGAACCGGGGTACGTCTTCACGCTCAACGACGACGTCAACATCGTCGCGTCGGTGATCTACCTCAAACCGCCCGCGCCCAAGCGCGGCATCCGGCTTATGCTCCGCTGCGTCGAGGAACCTCACGCTGCGGCGTTCGCCGACGAGCTCGCCAAGTTCGCGTAGATCATGGTTGTTGTTGGACTTAGCTGTGGTCATGTGTGTGGTACCTCATCTTTACTGGTGTCAGACGCTCATTGTCAACGGCATTGTTGGATGCAAACGGCGGTACTTGCATCGTGCCGGCGAACTTGCTTGCTAAGTATCTCCAGCGGATTACCAATATCCCATCTCTTAAAAGTACATACAAGTGATCTTATAACTTGTACTCTCTCCGATCCGAATTATAAGTTTTTTTTTTTTGCGAGGATTCCAAATTATAAGTTGTTCTATAACTTTTTAAGATACATAATTTGTACTATATGTCTAGATATAATCTATATAGAGAAAGTCAGACCCAAGATTTGAACACAGGGGGCTGATAATGCCAGCGATAATCACACATGATGAAATACGAGAACGAAGGGTCACTCGCACATCGACGTTGCTCCGCACCAAGGACGAAGGATCGCCACCGCAAAGGCGACCACGCCTTCGCCAGAAGGTCACAAAGACCTCAAGCGCTTCGGATCGTCAAGATACCAGGGCAACATGACCTAATCTCTCAAAGATCTCACGCTCTAACGTCTAAACCTCATAAGGATGCACTATAGTGTAATATCTTAGCCTAGAATTTGATCTTCAATGTCTTGATAGGGTGGATGGAGTGTAGAAATACAACCTTGGGGCAATCCAACACTATCAAAAAGTTTCAAAGGTATGAGTATTTCGGATCGACCGAAGGGCTTAAGTATCCGAAAGAAATGTATCAAATCCAGATCCGAAGATTTAGTATACATACTATATCCATATCCGAATACTCAAATTTAGATATATATGACGCCGACCAACTAATCGAAGGGCTTCAGTATCCGAAATAAATGTACCATATTCGAATATGGGATTTAGTATATGTACCCTATCTATATCCAGAAAGTCAAATTTGGATATATATGATATCGATATCCAATTCGGAACTACTGGCGCCTAGACGTCCGGTCGGATACTGATCCGTCAAAAGGTATCGTGGCCCAAGCCGATTCATTTCCCGCGCGCGCCTACACTCTGCGCCTATGCTAGCACGCCCCTCACCTGCTTTTTCGCGCGCCCATGGGGGCTCGCGTTGCGGGGGCCACTTACGTCCCCTTTCGCTTCCCACGCCGGCGTAGCACCTGATCTACTTTTGAAACATCCAGATGCAACACTTACACCATACGTTTGAAGACAGATGAAACACTTGAAACATGTGTCTGAAACACTTGCAGAAACACTTGCAAAAACACTTAAAAATCATTGCAAACATACGCAACATCCAGATAAAATGCTTGCAACATATATATGTGAAACATATGCAACATCCAGATAGACACACTTACAATGAATGTCTGAAAAAACAGATAAAACATTGGTTACAGACGCCTACAACATACGTGTACAACCGTTGCAACATATGCAACATCCCGATCTACTTTTACAACATCTGCAACATTCCAATTTACTTTTACAACATCCGTATGAAAATAATTGCAACATACCTTTAAAACTTCTGAAACATTTGAAATGTGCACTTGCAACATGCACCGTATTTTGGTGCGGCCTCCTCTGCCGTCTACATTGGGGCGTCCTTTTGCAAGATCCGCAACATCCTAATATACTTTTGCAACATTCGTATAAAACACACATGCAACATACCTTAAAAACATCAGAAATGTTTGAAATGTACACTTGTAACATGAATCGTATCCTGGTACGGCCTCCTCCGCAGTCTACATCGGGGGCGACGCAGTCGTAGCAGGAGGCGAGGCTAGGGGCTTCCGCGCCAGGGCCCGACGCTTCTCCTTACGCTGGCGGCTACTGTCGACGTTGTCGGACGGGGGCGGGGGGCGGCGTGACGGACCTGGAGTAGTGGGGCGGGCGACAAGAGCAACGGGACGGACAGACGTGGGAGGTCTATTGGGCTGGTCTGTAGGCCTGGGAAGAAGCATCCAGAACGCTTTGCGGACAATATTTCCATATCCAATTATATCTTAGCTGAAATATCCGTAACCAAATCTAAATCATATTCATATTCGTAGGTGACCGCATTCGATCCGTTTACACCCCTAAATCTGCATTCCAATTGAACTAGCCTAACTTACAAAAACATCTGAATTTGTTCCTCGTATACTCACTATATGGCTAGAGTACAAATTTAACTGTTGGTGAAATGTTGATCATTTTTTATAGGTGAAAATTATTTACCAAATTCCTTAGCAGCGCAGTAATGATTTGTATCACGATGACTTGTAGGAGTATGACACTCCCCACGGAATATTCGTGGTCTTTTACGACTCCACGGAACGTTTTCGAGTTGTATACGATGACTTGTAGGAGTATGACACTCAACACGGGCTCTTCTTGGTCTTTTACGACTCCACGGAACGTTTTCGAGTTGTATGCACGCCAAAGCAACGTCCAAGTCCAAACTAAGGATATTATTATTCTTCCTCGGAACCAGGGGCCAAACTGGAAAAAAAAAAGTAAAAACAAAGTGCAGTGCCGCTCGCCGTGCCGGCGGAGGGAAGACGGAAGACGAGAGGTATGGCGGGTGCCGGTGCGGTGGGCTTCCCACGGGACCTGATGGTTCAGCGTATCCAGAGCTTAGTGGAGGAGGGGTTCTGGGACGCGTTCCGCCGCCTCAAGCTCGACGTCCTCGGCACCGACGACTCCCCCATCCCAATCACCGGTTCGCTCGCTCGCCCACAACCCCCTCTCTTCGCTGTTTGTTCGTAGAATTCGCAATTTAGGGCAGG